TTTGAAAACCAGTCATCTTATTATATACATCAGAACTCTCAATTATTAACGAGAATATTTGGTTTGATAGAGGTATCTAATCCACAGCTGATGGCGTTGGCCTGTTGTTGTTGTTTAACCATTTTTCAGTCATGTCTGACTCTTCTTGACCCCATTTGGAATTTTCTTGGCAAAGATATTGGAATGATTTGCCATTTCCTTATCCATCTCATTTTATAAATGAGGAAACTGAGTCAAATGGGGTTAAATGACTTGCCCAGAGTCACATAGCTAGCAAGTGTCTGAGGTCAGTTTTGAACTCTTGAAGATGAGTCTTTCCTGACTCCATGCCCAGCATTCTATCTGCTATACCACCTAGCTGCCCACTGGCTCTTATACTCTCTCTTTAAAAAAATTGATTAATGTCTTTTATTTTTAGACTATGGTCATTTCTAGGTATACTTCATTCTCCTGGAACAAACCAACTGGGTTGGAAGTTGTAACAGAGAAAAATAACTAAGCAAAAACAAAAAAGTCATTCTGACAATGTATGCAATATTCTGGCCAAATCCCTTGCCTCTCTGCCAAGAGGAGGGAAGTAATTCATACTTTTTTCTTGACAAGATCATGGCAACTGTTTTTGTATTTCTTAATCAAATAAATTGACCTCCAAAAGGAACAAAAGTGCTCATAAAAAAGATCAAGCTAAACTATAATGAAAGTTATATTAATGGAGTGTGATATGGTATCATACCAAGAATGTCAAATGATAACTCTTTGGAGGTGATTTAATTATTAGCAGAGCTGATTTATGTTAAGACCCTGAGTTTATTAGCCCATTATATTCTTCTTAATCCCATCCCCTAGAGAAGAGGATATGTACATTAATGACCTTACAAGGCCTGAGGGTAGGATCATATAAACCACATCTAATCCACCCTGATTTCTCCCCCAGAATGCAGAGCTTTTCTCAATCATTTAATTTTAGAGTCGAAAAGAAACTTAGAGGCCATCTTTTACAACCAACAACTTGATGCCTATAAACTCTTTCCAACATCCCTGCCAAGTGTTCATCCATATTATACTTGAACATTTCCAGTGATAAGGAACTCACTGCTTATGAAGCAACACATTCCATTTTTTATAAGCTCTAAAATGTCTTCCTTATGTATCACCCCCTCTGGGACTACTTTTCTAAGTGTTCTAGCATTGGCAGATTAGGTCCCTAGGGGGCCATGGATTACTTCTCCCCTCAAGATTATATGGTAACACTTCTAAATTAGGGTATCAAGTACTGTCATGTAGGAGCCACCATTGAAGTACCTACCTATAGTCTCCTTAAACTTTTAGATAACAAAGTCTTATAGTAAGAAGAGTTAACCCCAACCATTTCCTTCAAAAACATCTTGGGGCCACAGTCTCACACAAGTATACAGAAGGCAGGGAAAGAGTGGCTTAAATTTAGAGTATAATGGCAGGGAGGTACATGTATAGAGGTCATGTGTGTCCAAAGGGTTAACTCACAACCCCTGCTTATTGACAGTCCTTTCTTGAATCTGTAACCAGCACTATTTTGTTGTTTCAAGGAATTATGCACCCTGAAGCTGCTTCCTCCCTTGGGTATGTATCTTTCTGCATCTGTCCATGTTTGTCCTTGGTATATTTCTCTTTGATCCAGATTGGATGCATTGTTTCCTCTTGGTCCCTTTTGATAATGATATGCTCAATGTAAGCAGAGGAAAAAAAGAGGAAGAATCTTTCTCCTTGGCAAAGGTACTGGAGGGGTTTGCCATTTCCTTCTCCATGGCATCCTTATATTAACAGATGAGGAACTGAGGCAAATAGGACTCATACAGGTCACATAGCCCAAGGTCACACAGCTAGTAAATGTCTAAGGCCAGATTTGAACTCAGATCTTCCTGATTCCAAGCCCATTGCTCTATGTACTGTATGATCTAGATGCTCCAAATATATAAATTCACACATAAATATACACGCACATATATAATACAAGTGTATACAATACACAATACAAATATACACAAACATGCATATTCATATGTACATATTCGCTGATGGCTGTCTGTCACTGAGCATTTATTAAGCCCCTTTGATCCTCTAGTCCCTGTGCTAAGTGCTAGAGACACAAAGAAGGGCAAAATAAGTAAATAAATAAATAAATAAAAAGCTAAAAAACAAACAAAAAAAATGGACAATTTTTTGACTATAATATTCAGAGAAGAGTATAACTTTTGTGTCTGTGTACATCCAAATCCAAATATGGAAGGAAATTCCTCCTCCAAAGTTCAAATTCTTCTAATTTTGATAAAGTTCTCTTTACCTATTGCAAATTGATTTTGGGCCCAGTTTTAGGAGGGGAGATGGAGCTACAGGTAATGTATTATTAACATTTTCTTCATCATTTTCCTAAGTCTAGATAATCAATAAAATAATTAATCAATCCTTAGTTTGTAACATTTGCCTGTTTCTGAGGTACAAATGCTCACAGTGAAAATCTAATAATCAGCTTTTGTAAGTTATTTTGAGCTGATCCCAGCCCAGCCCTGGGTTCTGCTCATGGGGAGAACATTGTCATATTCAGCTCATATAACTTCATTATAGGGATGGAAGGAGAGATCCTAGCTTAAGCATTTTTAACGGATCATGGGAGATAAATGCAAGAAACAGGATGGGAAAGAGATTGCAATAATGTGGAGGAGTGCTTTGAAGAGACATATTGAGATGAACAAATTTTGATCTTAATAGAACTTAAAATTTTGTCCATTATAATTTCAAGTGGTCTGTTCTTCAGTTCCTAATGTTTCTATATGTCAATTATGTACCATTCAAATTTAAATAGAAATAAAAATACTTGGGCATTCTTTCATGAAGTCAGTTAGGGCAGGGGAACTATTTGTGTCACAGTACCAAAGGAAAATTTCATGCAGTTTAAAAATACTTTATCAAGCCAACCTTATAAATGTTTATTATTTTTGTAAAATCAGAGTGAATTTCTGCTCATTTTGAAACTTCCTAAGAAAATGGCTTTCTGTTCATTGAATTCTCTTGGCAGGACTCCCATCCTTTGAGAATGAAGAGAATAGCCCCCCTCCCTTACCCTGTTGCTATGGGAAGCATAGCTATCTCTATGATTTTGAGACCTGCTATTATTAAAGTTTTTTTTAAATGGATATTTTAGCTATTCAGTTTTTTAATACCTAGTCAAATTATTCCAGTTTCATTGATGCTATTATTTCCAAACAGTTGAAAGACTAATGGATATTAAGTATAATTGGATATTGGAGAAAATGCAGATATATTTTGTGGAGTGGTTTTTTAAATCAGTTTGTATTTTTTTCTGAAAAAAGTATGGTTATTGACCAGATTTTAATTATGGGAGTACATGGCATGTACTCAATTCTTATATCCAATGCTAAAAATGATGGGGAGCCTGATTCTTTATCATTTGTAGGAAATTAAGATTGGAAGAGGGAGAGAATAAATAGTCTACTGAATCTCCTTGTTGATTGTGCATATTATGCTTCAAAGAGAATATCAGTAGAAATCAATGTAAAAACATATGACCAGTTGAGAAGATTGTCGTTATATGAGATCCAAGAAAAAATTAAAATCTGTATAGTATTTCAGCTGAAATTGAAACAACTATAGAAGACATCTCCTGGCTACAAGCTAGGGATTTTTGAAAGTGTTGAAAACTGGAATTTTGTCCACTGCCTCTTGCAACAAGAAGACATTGTGAACTATTTATGCTGTTGTTGCTCAGTTGTATCCAACTCTTCATGACCCTGTTTGGGGTTTTCTTGGCAAAGGTACTGTAGTGGTTTGCCATTTCCTTCTTCACAGCAAGTAAGTGTCTTAGTCAAGATCAGATAAGTCTTTCTGACTCCAGCCCTGGCGCTCTATGCACTATGCTACCTAGCTACCACTTATGTCTGTATGTGTTTTCAGAGATATAGAGGCAGACAGACATAGAGACCTTATTACTGCTTTTTAGTATATCACTGACTACCCTAGCCCCTACTGCTCGCAGGCCAGGAATACTACATTTCACTCCTCCCATGGATTCTTCAGTACACAGTAAAATGTTTGGAGGTGTCTAGGTTCTCTGACATTGGCTCAAGCTCCCAACAGTGGTGTTCATGCCAATGGAAAGATGCTGTCCTCAACCAAGTGGTAGGAGAACACAGAATTTCTTCTCCCAGAATCAGGTTGCTGGCATCTCCTTTGTGGCTGCTTCCATGTTAAGTGACCTGGAAATGTACAATGCAAAGCCCCATTATACTTGTAAGACAAGTAGTCATGTGTGTGTGTGTGTGTGTGTGTGTGTGTGTGTGTGATGTACACGCATACGCATGCCTCTATGTCTGTGCATATGTAAAGGATAACTGATGGGGAGGATATATGTTTCAGGAGTCACTATTATCAAGAGGAAGACTATGTTGAGTGAGAGATTTACAATGGAATATAAACAAGAATCCCACAGTTGAGAGATGCTTCATTGAAGAGAGTACTGACCCTGATGAAATCACAGATACATCAAATTATTGCTCTATTACATTATTACAAATGTATTGGTGAATACATCTTTAACTTAAGCTATGGCACATCCTGTCAAGCTAGAAAAGCTTCAAGTACATGCCTAGCTAAAACCAAATAAACAAATAAAACAACTGCTTATTTGTCATCTCTAATTCATCCTAAAAAGGTTAGAGAAGTACATCAGACTACCCACAGGGTAATTAATTTGGTGACTACAGAAGCTCAAAGGTCTTTTACTTAATCTCTCCTAATGGCCCTGAATTTGCGCGCGCGCGCACACACACACACACACACACACACACACACACACACACACACACACATTCTTACGAAATTACTTTTGTAACAGTTTCAATAGCTGCTCCCAGGGACTATAGATTCTGTTAGTAAAGGGAATGGGATCTTCGAGAGTTACAGTTTCACTGTCATCAATGAGCATTCCATTGGGAATGGCAGTTTAACTGTCATTCTGGAGTTGATTTTTAATTATCATGGCTGGAGAGAGGCTAAGGAGAGACAACAAAGACTAAGAAAATGTCTTTCCTCAGAGAATGAGTGACTTAATTGTCAAGGTGTAAGAGTTGGAAAAGATATTTCTTGATAGAACTGAGTCTAACAAATCTTGAGAATAAACATCATGAAGAGAATTCTTGAAAAGAGACTTTAACTGAGAGGGCTGAATGGTAGTTAAGTGTTTCCAGAGGTGATAGTTAAGAGATAATTCTCTGACTTCGGTCTTTCTCATAGCCAAATCATTGTAAATAATGATTTATATTGTTGCTTTATTTTTTGTTAACTGTTAAGAGAAAATATATCCAGTAATCTTAATGTGTATTTAAACCTATCAAATTAAGTGGGGGTGGGTTGATATTGAGGGAAAGGTGAGTAAACACAGGAACATAAGTGCTCAGAGATAAATTAATGAGATTGTATACTTTTTTTTAATTTCTGAGAAAATATCAGAATATATTCTTTGATTGCTATGGTATCCAGGATGAAAATTAATAAAGTAATGAATCGAGGGGTATAAGACGGGTTTGGTATGAATGTGGACTAGTATAATGTACCAAATGACCCATTCAACCCCACATAAGCCCTACAAGTGGTAGTTGTCTTTTAAGCCCTCCTATATTTTGTACTTATAACACTAAGAATTGCTACATTGAGTTTTTGTATTCATAAGGAAGCCTTTTAAATACTTAAGTGTATAATCATTCTGCCTTTGTAATTGCATTTATGAAACACACGAATGGCTTGAGATTATGCCTCCAGTTAGAGAAAATCCTCTAAATTAGCTGTAGGCTTAAAAACAAAGTCACTGTCTCCTGTGTGGCTCCCAGAGCTCTCCTGTGCCCTCATGCCAAGAACAAAGGAAATTCGTAGGATGGGGTCAACCACATCTAGATGCCAGTTTTATCCAGCTGAAATTAAGATGGGGGACTGGTATAGAATAAGGACTGACAGTTTCGCAGTATCTTTTTTTTTCTTCATCACTTCAGACATCTGAGTGTGCTTATGATTAAGTCTTCTACCTTGCTGTTTGCCCCTTTAGATTTTATCCTCTTTGGTATTGTAGGATTTGAGAAAGAAAAATTCATGTTTTTCCCTCACTGCTCCATATGTCTGAGGAAAAACCTACCACTTCTCTCCTCTTCCTGTGCTCTTTCTCCCTTTTAAGGGACTCTCTCCTGCCCCAGCCTTAAATTAACATCATATTTTCTTACCTCAGGAAACAAGAAGAAAATACCAAACCCCAGTAATCTATGCAGGTCCGGACCATTCTCATCCCTTACAGAGTGAGCATACCATTTATATTTTGCATTTATTTATCTAAGTACATACTGCTTCACCATAGTAGAGCACAAGTTTCTGGAGGACAGGAATGGTTTCATTGTTGTCCAACACTTAGCATAGCACATGCCAGGTAGATTCTTAATAAATGTTGAATTGAATTGAATTGAATTGAACTGAATATCAGGCCACAAGTGTAGATAGTAACTTGGTTATCTGCTTTTCTAACTTCTTGTCTGTTTTCTCTGAGAAACTAAAACATTATTAATTTTTTGTTTGTTTTTTTTCCCTGGATATATCCAATTAATCCTCATGGCATTCCTCTGAGGAAAGGCTATGAGGTGGGGTTTAGTCATTCTTTCTCCCTTGAGAGTGTTAAAACTGACATGCTTTATTTATAATGAAAACAATCTATTTTATTAATACTCATAATAAATGGTGTACTAATGACCCACAGTATAATGAAGACTTGGAAAAGTGTAAACAAAGTTAGCTTCTTCTGACAAGAGGAAACGTGCATCCTAAATAGACTGCCTCTTTGGTATCAATTAAGAGCAGCTGTTTCCTTCCTAGTTGAGTCACTCTTCTCTCACTGAGTCTTTTGGGATTTTTTGCTTTTTTCCACCATATACTTGCACTTCATGATGTCTCCCCCACCTTCCTGCATTTCAGGAACAATGTTCTGCTTATACACCACTCCCTACCATTTTCTTTGTAGACCTTCAAAGCATTTCTTTCAATAAGTCTTATTCTTAGATGTTTGAGCCTGACTATTGTAAGAAGGGGAAGAATGAACTAAGCCACTGTTCTCTGTAGTTGGGAAATAGCTTGCTCTATTATCACTTCCTATCTCCCCCACCCCATTATCCTTCAAAGAACCCCCATTAACAAATGAAATCCTACAAAAAGCACAAATGAAGGGATATAAAAATATAACATAATTATCAAAAATCATGGAAGTTTAATCTACCCTTATAAAATATATCTATATCTATATCTATCTATAAATATATATCCTTGCAACATATGTTTATTATTCTTAGCTATTGGTGTTGCAATAGTCATGAAACACATTTTGATGAAAATACATCTCAGGATATCTAGTTTGAATGTGAAATGTTGGTGGCTGAGACTAAAAAAAAATACACAAGAAATTGATGAAGAATGCCTTTACCCTGATTACAGCAAAGATTCAGATGGATAACCTATAGAGCTTATCCATTGGTATGTTTATCTGGTACAAATAGTACAGTCAACTGTTGGGTTCAAGTTGGGAACAAGTTGGGTTCAGATTTGAACAGGAGGAGACTGGAGCAGATTAGCTTTAGGAAACTTCAAAACTCTTAACTCCAGACTTCCCATAGAAAGACATTTTTTTAACCCGGATTCTACCAATGTTCATGTATGGCACAAAGACATGGAATGTAACAGTTTCTGGAGAACTAAAAATAATAGAGAAGATAATAGAGAAATAGGTGGTGGGTGTGAACAGGTTCGAACATATTATGAATGAAGAACAAGACTAAAAGATGTGATGAAAGAACAAAAAGACAGCAATTGAATGATAGGGGGAAAAAGGATGGATTCACCACATGATGAAGATGAGAGATAATCGGTGGATAGCTGGAGTACTCCACTGGTATTTTTGAAATTAAAGGGGAAATCAAGGAAGGCCTCCTTAATGCTGGGCAATGGGCTACAACAAACTTACAGGAGAATAAGTATAAGAGATGCACAGGATGAAAAGGTATGGGAAGATTTCAGTCTTTACCACTACAATGAATTTCCAAGTCAATATTATAGATACTTTTGCTTTTTTGAGTATTATTAATTTGTCCACAAACTGATTTCTTTTTACCTGTGACCAATTTATGTGTTCATTCCCATAGAAACACACACATACACACGTCTGCATCAGTGTGTGTGTTATGCTTTTATCTATAGCCGTTTGTCTTGCCTCTTTTCCCTTATGTTCATGTAATCTGTAATTCCTTTAGTTAGATTGTAATCTGGGCAGCTAGGTGGCACAGTAGATTGAGTGCAAGGCCTGAGTCAGAAAGATCTGAGTTCAAATCCAGCCTCAGAAACTTACTAGCTATGTGACTCTGGGCAAGTCACTTAACCCTATTTGCCTCAGTTTCCTCATCCGTAAAATGAACTGAGGAAGGAAATGGTAAACTACTCTAGTATCTTTGCCAAGAAAACCCCAAATGGGATCAGGAAGAGTTGGACACAATTTAATAAGAACAACAGACTGTAATCTATCAGGCAGGAGATGTACCCTCACACATAAATGGCAGTGCAAATTCAAACTAGATATGTGGTGATAAAGATTGTAATGGAACCGTTTGTCCAAAGCCCTCACTCACCATGTGCTTCTACCTCTCTAGTTACCTTTACCAGACCCCTTAAATCTGACAAATATGAAAACAATTGAATTAAATTGAAACAGACATGAAGACTCTATCCGTAACATAATTTATTATAATTAGAGACAAATATAGCCCTATTGAAAAAAAACAGATAGAAGGACATGCAAACTACCCAACTTCTCTCTCATATTCTACTTTGGAAAAAGTGCTGCAACCATAACCTTCCCTCTGATCTTATTTGCTGAACTGTTGGAATCTCAAGAAGGCTTGAATATTTTCCAGGAAAAGAAACGTACCTGTGATTCGTGTTTACAACATATTCCAAAACAAAAGGTGCTGCCTCTGCCATGCCTCTCTAATACCCTAGAAGCTGAGAGAAAGAAAAAAAGCCCCCTTTAGTTTGTCTCTCAGCAATGTTTTGGTAGACACAGCTCTAAGAGTTAGAATTTCTGAAAGCAATGGAAATCGTTCAACAGGAGCCCAAAGCAGCTTCTTATGCTTATTTTGGGATCAGAATGTGAAGTTGTAATGTCAAAGCTCTTGTTCGTTTTCAGGGTTATTATTATTGGCAAGCTAACAACCCAATCTATGTAGTGTAATGATAATAATAATAATAATAATAATAAATAATAAATAGCCAACATTGACATAACACTTACTGCATTCTGGGCATTGTGCTGAGGGTTTTACAATTATTATCTCATTTGATCCTCACAACAACTGTGGGAGATAGGTGCTATTATTATCCCATTTTATAGATGAGAAAACTGAGGCAAACTGAGGCTGAGTGCCTTACCTATGGTTACACAGCTACTAAGTATCTGAGATCAAATTTGAACTCAGGTCTTCCTAACTTCAAACTGTACACTCAACACCAGGTTGAGTACAAGAATAAGTAAGGAGATTTTTTTTTTAATTAAAGGCAACTTTGGCCCAAAGGCCCTAATTCTGCTGTTTAATCATAATACATTTCTGTCTAATTAGGTAATGGGAAAAAATGTAGTAGTGCTATAATAACTAGATATTTCAGAAGAAAAGGTTACATTAAGATTCTAGGAATTCACTGACATTTTTAGGCAATGCATACAATCCATTAAATTTGATCAACATCATTTGTAAGGTGAAATTATTTTTAAATTATGATCAGCAACAATCCTTATACGTTGTTTTGAAGATTTATAGATAGTGCCACGTCTGATATATTATTCAAATTCAATCTCTAATGAAACCCGCTAATTAACTGCTAAGCCCTGCACGCTTAAAATAAGGACAATAAGTACACACTTGTCATCTTTAGCACAGTGGCATGCTTCAGAAGCCAGATGTTCATCTCTCCTTGATGCCACTCATGTAAGAGCTCTGTTGGAGTTGAGGTTCCTCCTCCAGGTGTCAGGGGCTAAATATAGCACAGAAACCACTCCAAAGAACCCAGGGCTGGGCTTCAAACTCTCCCTGTCCCGTGCTGCAATAGCTGCCTTCTGCATCTGTGCTCCAGGTCTTAGAAAACTAGGTAATGTTGTCCTTTTTCAGTGTTTACTTTGACTTTCAATGCCCCTACAATTGATGAAGAGACAAAAGATATTCAAAGTTTTCTAGGAAGCATCATGGCACCAATATACTGTACAAATAGGATGTCCTGAAAACTTCAGTGAAGTTTTAACCTTATCACTTTTATTGGTCATGCCAATCTAGGGTGCCTTGTATGCTACTTCTCCTGTGCAATTCATTGTTGGCAGTGTGCTATAGCCTGATGTTACTCTTTGAATTTTTTTAAATGGTGCAGGCCATTTAATTAAATCAGAGTATTAACTTTCTTTGTTCTGTGTTTACTTATAAGTTTAATCCACACATATGACTAATCTTGCATTTTGTGTGAGAGAAACAGTATGAGGCAATAGAAAAAGTATAAATTTGGGGTGAGAAAACAATGATTGGAATCCCAGGATTACCTTGGGCAATCCTACTATGATCTTTGGGCTTCAGCTTCATAATCTATAAAATGAAGGTGTCAAACCACATGACTCCTGAAATCCCTTCTAGCTCTAAGATCAAATGGGATCATATCTGTAAAGTGCCTGGCACAGTGCCTGACACATAATAAGTGCTTAGTAAATACTAATTCCCTTATCTTCTAAGTCTATGACTTTGTGATCCTTCAATATTATGACTCTTCCAGTTTGGAACTTATCCATCTAGCAAGTAGCTTGATCATATGTCCCATGGAAATTCACTCTATCCCAAAGTATTTCCATTCTGACTACTGATCTGATGTGAATAGGTTTAGTTCACATTTACCAGTGTCACCCCTACCACTCATTCTGTTGTTGCCCTAATTAATAGTGAAGAGTGACACAAGTATTGCACCTGCTTTTAGAAACTACATTCAGATTACCCCTATCAAGAAATCCACACAAATTAAACCACAAAACACCCATAGGCATATTGAATTTCTTGTTATATCTCATCCATAAAACTGTTCTTCCTTGTATTCTTATTCTTCCCTCCTCACCTTGGAAAAAAGTGCCCAATTGCGAAGTAAAACAATTATTCATTCTAAGAAGTAAGCCTATTCATGAAATCTGGTATCTGCTAAGGACTAGATGATGTATGAGCAGAAATCCCAGATGATGAGT